AAATACTACTGGGGTTCCGCAAAGTTTTAAATTTTATGAAAGGGTTCCATGGCTAAAATAAATTGGGAAACGCTGGAATAGAGGAATTGTGAAAAAACTACATAGGAAAATTGTAAGACAAGTAAGTAAACAAAAAAAATGCCAACTTATAATAATATGTGTAGCAAGAGAAAACGTATGTTTGTACTTTCGGCGTCCATCTAAAGGTTATAGCTGACAGTTCTCTCAAGCTTAATAGAAAAAAAACTGTCAAAGTTCTACTCGTTGTAAACAAAAGACATTCAATAGGTAATCAGTGTACTTCAGTCAGGTATGTTTGAATGATTAACCAGATAATGGTTTATCTTCTTTTACGAACTTCATGAATTTTCGTAGGATATGCTAAGATGATAAAGTCTCTGCTTTGCATTCAGAAAAATAAAAAAATCGATGCATACTAAATTTTGATTACATAAATCGCGAAATTGTTTTAATTTTCCACGAAGTAATAAATTTGCTTCACCAATAGCCACCAATATATCTCTACGATCTAAAATGATGATATAAAAAACAAAAAAAAAATTTTTTATTGATCAGAAAAAAAACAGCGACTATCGTGACTTATACTCACCATCTTCAGGGATTTTGTTGGCACTGCTATCGTCATCAATCACTTTATTATATATGGATATTTTCTCTTTCAGTACTTTTTCAGATTGATCCAATAACGATAATAATGTTTTTCCATCCTAAAAAGTAAATAAAAAAAGATAAATAATGAAAAGTTTGATATCAATGAAAGTATAATCTAAAAACTTGAAACTGAAAATAAATTTTTTTCTCTTAAGTTACATCAACTAATCTGCTGATAATTTAAGAATTCAAGACAAAAAACTTGAGAAAGTGATAAGAACAAACATGTAAACATACTCTGGCTTTATTTAACATGTTCTTAGAATACGATCAAAAATGTTAGAATTGTTTGCTTATATGATGTGCTACACTAATCATCTCATTATTTTTTTCTTTTTATTTCATTCTCTAAACATAACAAAATATTTCTTTCATTTTGAACGTGTATATGCCGAATTCGAACTTATCGTGTTTAGATTTTATTCACAGAGTAGATATTTTCTTTTTCTTCTCTATTTAATGATCATCAAATGTGTATGCCAGAATATCATAGAAAGAAAAAAAAAGAATAATACAGAAAAGATCTCAATCATTAATACATACATTGACAGAGACTTTTTAACAAACTGTCTTCGCATAATCTATTTATTAGTTAGAATTTCTCTTTTTTTTTTAACTAATAAGACTAACAAATTCCCAGGGCAAAGAAAAATTGTATCAATTCCTCTTTCTTGAACCATTCATGATATAATTCATTTAGGCAAGATTATCAATTCGGATATTACTAATCGGGAGTGTTAACAGGATAAGAAAATACGTTCAGATCTTTCACTGTATCTTGTCATTGGTGATAAATAGAGAAAACGTCAACAACTTTATTTCAAGTGTACACATGAGGGTGTTCAGAGTGTTACGACTTTATTATAATCAGAATGTAGAAAAGACATTTTTGTAGCAGTACTCAAGAAAATTTCCATAATGAAAAATAAACAACGAATCTAAACTACTACTCATTAATATGGAATGCATGTTAATGAGTAAAAACAGAAATATTAATAGAACAAAAAATCCATTCTTCTCATGTTCATGTTTACTAATCTCAAGCAAAAAAAAAAACTATGAGAATGTTTAGTGTCCACGAAATCTAACAATCAAAACTACAAATGTTAGATCTCCACCGGTAATGCATGGAATCACGCTCGTTAGCTACCACCATTTACAGTTATCTATAAAATGCTTGAAGAAATGTGTGTAAGATTTCACAAGATTCTTCATGATATGAGAAAATGAAACGGTTATGCTATGTTCTTGTCATTCGCGATGTATATTCTACACACGTTTTACATAGTGAAAACAAAAAGATTAAATGTCTCTCATTCAGACCGTATCACAGTGCTCATGCTCTTCTTCGTAAAACCAATGCCAAAACTCGAAGATCTTTAGATTTTTAGAAAGCATGCGCATAATACAAACAAAAACTTACCATAACTGGTTTTTATTTTATTTTATCAAAATAATATAACCGTATAAGAAAGAATAACTTTGAACACAAGAAAATTAGAACTAGAAATGAGAAACTATAAGTCACGAATAAATAAACTAGTTATTTTTGTTGTATGTATTATTATTTTATTTGTTATCGAACAACAATAGAATGACGAAGAAACAGACTGACCATAACATTCATGTCTACATTTCGGGGGAAGAAAAAAAAAATAGAAAATAAAGGAAACAAAAGCAAATATTAGTCACATCACACATGTTCTTTCGTCTATCAAGCACGGAAGACGCTATGACGACTAAATTACTATAACACAAAAAGAGTTCTCTGTTTTTTTTTCCTTCATTTCAGACACTTGACTTCATGATATAATTTATTCATATAATTTACCATCTCTCTCTCTCTCTATATATATGTAGTCTAGAGATCGCATAAAATAAATAATGTTAATATAAAATATAATATATTATAATATCTATTGAAACTTTTTGTCATGTAACATACTCTCTTGAAGAATTGATCTACATAAGAAGTTAAATTTTGTTCAACTACATGATGTATAATCTATATCATCAAGATATCTTTGTTCCCTTCTCATTGAAAGTTGGAAGAGAAAAAGATTAAAGCATCTTAACAACAATTTCTCTGCTATGAGAAAACTTTATAGGTTTTCTGAAGTACTATAAGACTATATTCTGACTTCTATTTACCTACTTAAAGTTAACTATCTGTTTTTAAACACTAATGTGCAAGTTGAAGAACATAATGATAAGTGGCGAAGCTTTCTTTCTCTCAAAAGATATTAAGTGTTAATCTAATATTTTATTGCTTAAAACTTCATCGTTCTTTCTGTTATAGTATTTCTAAATATTAGATGAATAAAAAAAAATGTCTATAGAGAATTTGACAAATTTAAAATACACTAGATAAATTTTTTATTAATAGATTATATCATTGAACGAATATTGACTTGAATCTCAATAGAATACACTCTATTTTATTTAAAGAAAAAAATTTAAATATCAGGACATAGAGAACGTCGTTCTGAATTTCAATGATCATATTAAATCATTTTTCTTTTTGTGACAGTTTACTGAATTAGTTGGGCTGATGTCGAATACTACATATCGATTACAAACTGACTATTTGAACGATCGGTTGGATTATGTTTTTTTCAACCGTTGTAAGTCTCCTTTCAGCTATGAAACTACCATCATCGATTTTCTCCACTCCTCTCATGTTGCACAAAATATTAAGGAAAAGAATTTGATGTTAAATAAAAGAAAAATGACCAATATAGAGATACTAATAAACTGTGATTCTAATAAATAGCAAAAAAACCTATACAATCTAAGAATAATTGAGGATTTGTAAAAACAAATATTTTTGTTGTGTCAGATCGCGTTGTTGGGCGAATTTGAGTTAAGTTTTTTTAACCATTGTATATGCCTTATTGGTCATTTCCATTTTTCGATATCAGTAAAAAGGATTCGACATTTAATAGACTGTAGGTTTTGGTCAGGAAGAGTACGGAATACTGAACTTTTAAAAATTTAAAATTTGTAATTGATTTTTTTATTCAAGAATCAAATACAGAATTATCTATAGTTGAGGAGCAGTTCTAAGTGTCAGATTACAAAGCCTTACGTTTCGAAAGAGAAAGAGAGGATGTTCGACTTTTCTAATCGCTTAATAGCTGATTCTGGATATCAAGCTTTTATCAGAATCTTGGTGTGATGATACACAAACACTAATTGCAAAACACTGATTAAACAACACCAACGAGGACTTCGATTCGCGTAAAGGAAAAGTTATTTGTTTGTAAAACTAACAGAGGTATTAGTAGTATACAAGGCGTTAAAAGGCAAAAACTATATGAATTGAAACGCACGAAGATGAGAAAAATCAAAAAACTCGAATAAATAAACGTGAACCCATATTAACATTTAACTAATCCCTTGATGCCAGTCTTGGTAGAATAAATCTCGCCCCTGCTCGGATCATTCTCTCTCTAGCTGGAGTCGTACTGATGGTTGACAGTATTCTACAGTGAAGATATTCTGTAGAATGAGTGAGATTGAATCATTTAAATGACCTTGCAATTGACAATTTACCACTATTTATCAAGTCATCCTATCGATTACAGATCTCAATATGTCCTTAGTAATTCTATATTTTATAATAGTTTACGGTAGTTAGTAATATAGTGCTGTTATTTTGTTATTTATTAGCAAACGCTTCTCCACTAACTCGTATAGAGTATATATATATAGAACAAGAAACAAACAGAAAACAAACAAAACAAAAACACGCATAAGTAAAGAATTTAATTAATTAAAAAAAACGACAGAACCAAACAAACAAATAAATGAACGTAAGTATGAGATGCATGATATCGAAGAGGTAACTATTAATAATTGGGTAATAATAACGATGAACATAATACGTAATCTGACGGTGATGCGAGGGCAAAACAAAAAATACTGGTAAATATACTAAAGTTGAATAATACGACATGCGGTATTAGTAAATGCGCTATCGTGTGTATGTATAAAGCGAACGAACAATTGTTGGTCATTTGTGTGTATATGTAAGCAAAAAATATTATATGACGCGCGCGGATGTAGTAAAAACCCATCACCGATTTTTGTTGTTAGTCTATGTCAATTACGTCTCTTACCTTTGTTTCACTGGCATGAGAAATGTAATGATTATCATCATGTGGCCAAATAGCATCTCGAAAATGTTTATCGACAATATTTTCTTCACTATTTTGGAGAAAATAATTATTATCTTCATTTTTATAATGATGACTACCGTTTTGATTTACACTAGATGGTGGATCGGCTGTTCTTAATTCATCATTTGCAACTAACTCTTGTGTTTTTCGCGTTATTTCATCAACAAACGACCAAAGATTTTCGGTTGTTTTTGATACATTGGGGTCGCTATTGTTATTCAAATGACGTCCAGAGACGATCATTGTAGAATCAACAGGAAATTGTTGATATTGATCAGTATTTGTTAACGATTGAGGATCATATAACGGTGATGATTTGTAAAATCCGTCTTCAAATATATCACCCGTTCGATCTTTAAAAGGAGAAAAAAATATCAACGATAAATTTCAATGGATATAGACAAGTTTGTGGACTCACCGACAAGTTCAACCGTAGGTGATTCAATTTGACGAAAATCAGAATTAATTTGATCATAATGATTCACATTGGACGATAATTCATAATTGTTTGGTACTGAAAATATAGAATAAATATTAGTGTTTGAGAAACAGAAAAGATAAACAAATGAAGTGAAAGAGAAATTCTCGTCTATCTCTTTAAACAGTAATGAATGGTAACTGCAGACTAATCGAACTGTATCACGAGGATAAGCCATCGTAGAACTGAAATATCCATGTCTTTACTTACTTTCATAATGACTATTTGGATTGTCATATCCATCATCCTAAAAGAATGTAATAATTATATATATATGAAGTATTATATAGTATACTGTACGAACCATATTTAGATTCACAGCTGAAGAGACTACTTTTTCAGTCATTTCTGTTAGATTTTTATCCATTGTATTTTCATTATTGTTGTCTTGTTTAATATCTATTGATAAATCTCGTGATATATTCAGAGCACGTTCAACAGCATCAATCAAATTTTTATCAATAACATCTAAATTATTCTCAGTGTTTTCTTGATAATGATTTGTCTCAGTAATATTTAAATTTTGAAAATTTGACATTAATTCATCATAACTGGATGAGGTAGGAGACGACGCGATGGGTGATGGTGATTGTTGATTATCAAATTCATCTGATTGACGACGATTTACATATGCTGTTACTTTAACTGTTGGTTGATTATTTGTTGATACATTGTTGTCTGATGATTCCGTTCCAATGTGACAAGTTACTTTAATGAGATTTGAAGCCGGGGGAGTATTGTATTGTTCCGTATAAGACGTAATGTGATTCGTTATAGGATCCATTTCTCGATCAATATTATTATTTTTATTTTCCATTGAACTATCTAAATCGGTTAATTGGTCTAAATCATTTTCAACTATTCTAAGCTCATTCGATATTTCGTCCGATTTTTCATCTTGGAATGCAAGATGATATACACGTTGTGGATTATCTTTCAACGGAATATTCAACAGATCTGTATCTTCAACATCATCACCTAGATCTGAACAAGTGTTCTCATTTTTATATACAATATCAATATCTGGATTAGTAGAGTAAAGAGTTTCGACTGGTGATTGGTAATAATTAGTTGGTTCAGATTCTTTATGCTCATTTTCTAGAATAAATACAGTATACATTTAAGCCAAGCTAATGAGCACAGTAATGAAATTGTTTTTGTCCTGAGCAGATTTTTATGTGATGCTCTGTTGGGATCTTTGAGTTACTGACTATATTACTTTCTATTACACACATCGCTTCTCTAGCTTTTACAGATGAATACAAAGCTAGAAGGAATTAGCACTGTCTGTTTATTCACAGAAACTTTAAAAATATATTTCACATATTTTCAATATGCTACCACCGTCAAAAATGATGTTCTAGCTGCTGATACATTTAAATGAAAGAGATATCTCATACCTTTCCTGATTTGCGTCTTTGGTGTTGGTAATATATGTTGCTGTTGATGTATATTTTTAACACTATCAATACTTCTGCTCAATGGTCTTACTCTCGTACTACTAAACATTGTTCGTCTAAATGAATCTCCATTCCCAAAATCATACTTGACTTTGCCAACATCATGATAATGATGAAATTTAAATAGATCATGATCTTTATTCTCTTGTGAAAATGGATTTTGAAAACCGTATCCACTTAACAAACAATTTAATTTAATATTCGATTGTTTTCTAGCCACTAATAATGGATCCGTATCGGTTATAATTAATTTTGTTTGTTGTTGATGAAATGAATTATCTGTTGTCATTGTACTTCTCATACTTCCGTTCATGGATATTGTTGACAGTGAACGATTCACAACGAGAGAATCAGTATCATTTAATATTTTTGAATTTTGACGATTTATTTTGTCTAATGGTTCAGACATGTCAGACAGAAGACTAGAACGATTGAATATTGTATCAAGCTCATTCATTGGTGGCTCTTGACCTAATATATCTTTTAATCGTTGAGTTGGGCTTAATTTATCAGCATCATTTTTACGAGGTGGAGCACATGGATGATCACCTAACAGACCAATGGCTGCTGATGTTGCTGTAATGCGTTTGGCATTGGCTGATATACCATATCGTGCACGAATTTCATCATATCGAGCATTTATATTTTCTATAACTTCACTTGTTTGTGAATGATTATGATTGTTGTCAATATGACCTTTCTCCATTGTGCCTTCTCTTGAACCATCGATCGATTTTGCTGTTGTTGAACGAGAAGATTTCGCTGATGGTGAAACACCTAAACAAAAAATTTGCTGTTAAACATATTTTTCTACATTTGACTCATTTGGTTCGACATACTTCGTCGATTTTCTTCAGTTTTTTTCTCTTTGTTGTGCTGATTTTCTGATGAATGTTTTCCTGTTGTTAATTGAGCTATACGATTTGCAAACCTTCTCATTGGTGATGGATCTCTTATTCTTGGACGTTCTCTTGTTTTTTGTAGCCCTTCTCTATCATTATCCTTATGTGGAGCATCTGCCGTTGGTAGAGGTGGTTTTTTCTTTTTTGCTGCTCCCGTTGTTGTTGTATAACTGGATGTACACTTCGATTTCGGTAATGATGATGATTTTTGTTTAATTTCGTTGATTAATAGAGATTGTTGTTGATGGTGATGATGCTGTTTTGAATAATCTGTATTGTTACGAATATAATTTTCATTTTTCTGTGTAACATGATCAGTATAGTCCAAATCATCCTCATTTCGTTGTTGTTGGTGGTGGTGTGGATGTTGTATTGTATATTTAATACTCTCGCGACTTTTTGTACGAAAACGTCTTAGAACAGCTGGTGAATTTAACTTTGAACGCAACACATTCATTAACGAGCGAGATTTTTTCAATGGTGATGCACCACTACCAAGATGATCATCAGTACCATTTCCATATAATTTTTGACCTTTATCATTTGTCGTAGTTGTACGACTAATTGTTGATGCTTTGCGCCATAATGAATGAGGATGCTGTGACCCAGAAGACGAACCATTTATTTGACCATTACCATTAATTTTTGAATGTGAATGACCATTTGTTGAGAATTCATCAAAGTTTGATGAATCATACACAGAATTATTGGTTGTGGTACGACCACCTAATGTTGCCCATTTTCTGGGCCAACGTGGTCGTGCTGATGAATCGTTTGTTGATTGAGAAGTAGTTGAACCTCCAGTATCCGGCATACTATTTCTAAAGAGAAAAAATATTTAATAAAAACCCAAGTGAAATAGCTGATTCTTTCTTATAGCAAAAATCAAAAAATAAGAAGTAAAATAATTGTCAATATACCTTTGCTATATAATCTAAACTTGTTACAACACTATATCGATC